GGGATGGGGGCGGGGGGGGGAGGGGGAGAGAGAAGGAAATATGTATGAGATCGGGAAATGCTGTTAGCAGTGCCCTGAGGCTGTTCGGTCCCGGGGCAGTTCTTGGTAAGTTTCTGATGACGAAGTAGCTTTTGACTCCGACGGGCTAAAACGACCTCGCTAGGTGCGGGGTCATCCTAGACGCTTTTTGCACGGAGTCCTCCTGCCTGCACTCCACGGAGATGCAAAGCATGGCGAAGCCGGTCCCATCCACTCCCTTCCCTTGGATAAAGTGCTGGGAAGTGAGAGGGTGCGGGTGCCCGTTTGCTGAAGGCGACAGCCCACCGCCCGGGGCCAGCAGAGCCAGTACCTCCAGGTAAAGGGCTGAGCGTGACCGTCACCGTCCGCTTCCGACGCCGTGTACTTGGCCTCCTTAAAATACAATCTGCCCGGTAACCCACCAGCGCGCAGCGGCAGGAGCCCCGGAGCTATTGGCTATGCAAATCACGAGAAGGAGGTGGCGCCCTAAACCCCGCGCTCGCGCGCTTAAGGCGGTATTGAGGGCCCCTCTGTCCCCACGGAGGCGCCAGGGCTAGAGGGAGGGGGGCGTGATCTGACGCTGGGGTGAAGCTCTCGTAGGTACCGCCGAGCAGCGTCCTGGTTGTGCCCCGAGTACTACTGTGCCCGACAGTGGGCAGCTCCATCCTCCACAGGAGCCTCTCTGCCTCTTAGTGGGCTGCGGCAGAGACCGCGCAAAGTTGACACTTTCCAGGAGGCTTTGTGCCGGCCGACAGGTAGGCAACGGAAGTACTCCTCAGGCCCTGCGCGAAAGGCAGTGGGGATATGGCCGGCCGCCGGAGCGACGGAGGCACGCACAGCCAGTGCCTTGCTGTGCTGGGGCCGGCACCCTCCCCAGAGCGACCGCACAGCAGGGCAGCGCGCACACGACCATCACGGAGTGCAGGGCAGGGCCCTTTCCCTCCCCGATTCAATCTCTCACCTTCCCTTCCCCCACTGTGTTTCCTATAAAGTTATATCCCTGTGACCATGCAGTGCTAAATCAGCTCGCCTGTTAGCAGTGTGCGTATATACTGGTGGAAGCAGCGTTGGCGATTACTAGATTTCGGCCTGAAGGCACTGCAGAACACAACTCCAATATTGAAGTTGTGGGATCTTCAGATTTGCTTTTAGTCTGTAATGAGCGCTTTTCCCTCGTCTGCAGATTAAGGGGGTGATGGAGGAAGGAGAGGGGAAGGAAGGGGGAGTGCCTCTGGCACCTTGCCGAGGCAGACATTGCATCCCCAGCCAACATAATGTCGGCGGGTATGGGGAGAACTCTTTCTTGGAATAAGAATAGGGGATAGATGGCTATAGATTCAGGCTGCTTGTCACTGAAGTTTGGTCTCTGTAAGAAAAAGAGCAACTCATTTGTAGATGTTGTGTCCAATACAAGGGCCTCCTGGTTCCTTGTTAGCTTATATAGAGAGAGAGAAAAAAAAGCATTTGATACTACGTCTGACCAGCTGCTGTTCTCCATAATAACGAGAGAGAACTGCCTTCTCTGGCGAGTTGCGTCACTTTGATTCAACTTTGGGCTAGAAATCAAGACACGGAGATAGGAGTTTCAGGAGAGGCAGGAGCGAGCTGGAAAGCCCTGCCGTCTTCCTCCTTCCCACCCCTCCTCCTTTGCCCTTCTCTCCTACCCCCCCCCCCAAAAAAAAAAAACAAAAAAAACTTTTCTATCAGAGAAAGAGGGAGATCTCTTTGGAAATATGGAGCTGCTGTGCTGCGAGGTGGACCGCATGAGGAGAGCACTGCCCGATCCCAACTTGCTCTACGACGATCGCGTTTTGCACAACTTACTAACCATAGAGGAGAGGTATCTGCCCCAATGCTCCTACTTCAAATGCGTGCAAAAGGACATTCAACCCTTCATGAGGAGGATGGTGGCCACTTGGATGCTAGAGGTTTGTCTTCGGGGCGCCCATTTCCTTTAATTTCTCCCCGCGATGCTTTGGGACGGGGCTCCCCGGAGCCCCACGGGCTGCACTTCTCGGGCGGCACAGCCGCTCCCTGCTGTCCTTTCTACTCGCAACTCGATCGCGATGGGTGGGTGAGATTTCTTCCCCCCCAACCTTTTTTTTTGCTTTCGTTTTCCTGTCGCTGCTGGGTTTGCTGGCGCCCGCCTGGGCGCTGTGGGGGAAGGGGCAGATCTCGCAGCTCGTGGTGGGAATGGCCCGGGGGGGGAGGGGGGTAGTCGCTGGCCCTGCTGGGCCCCGGGCCGGAGGCGAGGGGGGGGGGTGGGGGGGAGAGATGGAAGAGGCATTTGTAGTTAAAAATGCAAAGAAATGCCGCCTCCGGTTTTCGGCGGCTGCAGCGCCAGAGATTGAGGCTTTTCGTGGGAAGATGAATGGCCTGCGGGGCAGGGCAAGAGAAAGGAAGTGATCAGTGTCACCTACATTTTGCCCGCAAGTATTTCGGTGCCCACGTATGCAGTGATCCGGACGTGGCTTTTTTTTTTTTTTTTTTCCCCATGTTGTGCTGCATGCAACTGTGCTGGGGG